TGGTGTAGCCAATCTGACTGTGCTCTGTGGCCGGTACTCTCAGTGAAAATGACTCCTCGGGGAGCCATCGTGGCCTCTGAACTGAAATCCAGAGATGAACCCTACCGATCAATACGTGGATCCACTGTGTTTTGCTTATCAAACAGGATGAAACAAAAAAAAAAAAAAAAAAAAACCTAACCACTTGTGGCCTCGGCTCTTGAACGCGTTCACTCTGAAATCATTTGCATTGGTTACCGTGGTTCCTGTCAAAGCAGGAGGCCTCTTATGGCAAGATGGCCTCCCGCAGAGATGGGTGTCCAGGTAATTTGCAGTTAGCTGCCCACCTCAAAGTCACATTGTGTCATTTCTCTAAGTATGGAATGAGAGGAGAGCTGGGGTCGTGGAAAAAAATGGACTGCAGGTTAGACTGTTTTTTTGTTCTGGTCTCTCTGTGTGAAGATGTCGATGATGACGGTGTCTGTCTCCCATTTAAACTCTTGAAATAAAGCACTGTCACTCACCGTGACACCAGTAAGAGGCCTGACACATTTCCTCTGTGCTGTAAAGTGCTTCTCTGTGTTACACTGTGCAGTGGAAGTTCGAAACACGTCTCTGTGGTTTGGTGATTTTACTCACTCAAACTTAAAATATGGAACTGGTATATATTTTGTTGAGTTGTTTACTTACACCCCAAATGTTTCCAGCACTGTTCAAACCTAGATAAAAAGTACTTGATTTTTAATCTTGGTAATTGTGCGTTTCCTGTCAATGGCGTCAAATCCCCCTATGTGCATGTGTCACGTTTCGGTTGCATACCTGAAGCTAGCCACACACTAAGATACACTTCTTACACCTTGGTCATTTTGTACGTAAAATAAAATACTCTGTATTTTAACCCGATGAAGGATTTTAGTCATCGAACATCTGTATCTTAAATGATCAGATTACAAAAGCCAAGCAAATGTAAAGACAGCTCAACTCCCACCTTCTCCGAGACGTCCTGTGTTGCTGGACAGCCTCAGTTAATCAACGATTTCTTACTTTATTTTGTGTCTCTACTGGTTTTAATCCCCTTATCTGTTTGTTATGGAGAGGAGGACACCTCCGCGGATAATTCGACCGCCGGTAAAAACCTCCTAATCGTCTGGATCATAAATTATCAGAGAAACAATCCAAACAAAAGGTTAGCAGCAATCTCAGCTCCCAACCCTTCCCTGACGTCCTGAATCCACCGTGCAGCGTCGGCGACCAGCGACCGACTTTAAATGGAAAAATATTCAGTGTTTTGTCACAATCACCTGGTCTGTTTGATTTGTAGAGGAGGAAACCTCTGCAAATTATTCATTCACGACATCACCAAACGCCGGAGAGACCTCCTAGTGGAAGAAGTTGCATTTAAGAAAATCCTCCATCCTCTGCTATAAATGTCTTAAACACAAAGCAGAAAAACATATTGTCATGTTGTAAAGTCGGCATGTGTCAGGAAATGTTTTCATATAACACATCCACCAGATGTTGAGCAACATTTAACATTTATTAAAGAGTCATTTTTCTTGCCACCTGACAAATGTGAGTCCAACATTCGCTCTTCTTTTAGTCTCCAACAGCTCTTGAGATGTGGATTTTTAGCAGCTGTATGTTTCAGTTTCTTCTGACTTTGTCTGAGGTTTGATGGAATATGCTGAGAACAGGTGAATCTGCTGCTGCTGCTGCTGCTGCTGCTGGAGGAAATGTGGGTCACTGTCAGCAGAATTTGCAAACAATGACCTAAAAGAAACTAGAAATCTCTGTAGAGCTGAAGGGAAGTGCACAGCTTCACTACAAGAAACCACTTTCACATAAATTTCGATTAGTGAAGATTAAAACACAACATTTAATTTTTCTCAAGTTTCCAAACATGTGACCTTTTTGTCATATATAAGTTTTACATCACTGCAGAGAAATTTGGTGACTGACCTTGGAAACTAAAGCCAGTCACACCTTGGAGACCAAGACCAGATTCACAATTAAAGTAACAGCCGTAGAATCTGTCTAAAGTTTTAGTATCTATCAGTTAATTGTTTTGGTTGTTCGTCCTGTAACTTCATTATGTTGGTCGGCCGCAGCAGGCAGCTGTTTTCAGCAAAAACAGTTCAGATAAACCTTCCTGTACCCGAGCAGGGAGCAGTGCACGGGCACAAGCTGTGTCCCACTTCAGGGGCCGCATCCTTCAGAGGACACGACCTGTGAAGAAGCGGCCTGCGTAGCCCTCGTAGACCGTGAAGGCCAAATCAAAATGAGACTGTCTGGCCTGATGGCTTTGCACCACCAGCTGTGCGCGCCCTTTCCGTTGTGTCACAAAGCACCGCTCTTGTCGCCTAGCAACCTTGACAACACGTAACTTTTTTTTCTTTTCACAGTTGGACCATTTCAACTGAACTGAAACCCAATACTTATATTTAAAAGCGTATTCCTTGGATTCTATGTCGGTGTCGTTTGCTGCCATATTATTTTCACCACCGGCCTGCAATGTATCTTGGGATAGGTTGGGCCACCCGTTACTGCCTTCGTCGACCTGGAAAAGAAAACACTGTTTCTCGTATGCGTTTGATGGAGCCTTCGAAATGGGACGGCCTAGTCGCGTCGCCGTTACATAATCAGTCCTTGAATGCAGCCTCTGAAGGATGCGGCGCCTGAATCGGGAGAAAACGTTAGCCGCTAAGCTGCTAGCTGGTGAACAAGCAGCTAAAGAGGCAGAGGTTTTTCCCTGTGACGTTGGTGGCGATCAAACAAGAGCTGTAGGGAGAGTGACTATGAGATTTATTTATTTACGTTTATTTGAACGTTACGAAGCTCCATACCTGCCGGATGTCTAAATAGGCAGCTAGCATAGTAATAGCAATGTTGTCAGTGTTGTCTTTCACAATGTATTCCGTTTTTCCCAAGTGGCAGAAAAAAAAATCAGCATTATTCAATTAGTGCTGCTTTAATGCTTGCTGGTATTTCATAGTGTTTTGGTATTTTACTGAGGCAGAGCAGCTGTCAGGTTGTGGGCTGCGCAGCTTCTTTCAGCAGGCATTTGGGATAGTCCGCCTCATCCCATATTCCTTTTCTCTTATCTCCCCTTTTTCCCTCAGGATATCTCCATCCACTGTCTTTGTAGCGAACTCTGAACCCTACGGAGATTTGTACAGTCTGAGAAAGAATACATCCAATTAATAATTTCATCTTTGAATGCAGAGCCCGAAACGCTGTGAGGGAGAGGTGGGCTTTGGGGGGGTCGTTTTGATGAGTGCTCGTGTGGTCTGAGCTGAGTGTGTTGCACCTGCTCTTTGAATCCTGGAGGTGGCACTTGGTGTAACCTCGGGCAACAAACACCCCGGCTCTTGTTAATAAATAACTTAGAAACAGCCTCAGTGTAGAGGAGGGGAGCTTGGGCCTAAGGGTGTTTGTTCAGACTAGATAAATAATTTATCGCTTGCCAAACCACACAAATCAGCCTGCATCGGTTGTCATCAGGCAGAAGTGTAAGCACGGTTTTCCATGGAAATATTCTGTAGATGAAGATGAGCATAGACCGCTGTGATCTATAGAGGGGGTAAGGGAGAACTGGAAACTGTAAATGCATGAAGTATGTTGTTAAATATGTAGTTTACCTAAACATATTCATAGTATTAAATATTCAACCTTCTGCTGAGCAGGGCAGGAGAGGAGTTTTTGCCTGAAATGACTGCGACACTACGAGGATTTATTGATTTTTGCTGCTTTTAATTTAGATGGAAAGTGGTATAAACTTTATTCCCAGTCATGTTTGTTGACATCCTGCTCTTATTGAAACCCAGTGCACACACACTTTTTACATTTGTTGCAGTTAAGGATGAGTCATGCCAGCATTTAAAACATCAGCATTTTGCAGCAAAACCAGTTCATTGCAATGGAATTAAATGGAAACGTAAAATCTATGAATGACGAGGACATTTACGCTGACCAATAAGAAGCTGTCGTGGCAGGGCTGACCCCTGGGTGAACCAGAGGCCAAAATGGAGGAGGCTGTCGTAGCCTGTTAGCTTTTAGCGCCACCAACATCTCCTTATCCCCCTCACTGTCTTGAGTGTAAACGACTCCACAAAAGAGCAATGGATGTCAGTCACGGTTATGAGACATGAGGCATAAACACATTCTTTTCAATAAAACGTGTGAACTGAAGAGCTCACTAGGCCACAAACTTGCTAACTCTGTACCTGGCAGTTAGCAAACTCATTAGCTCTTCTTCCCCTTCAGTGATTCTTTATTGGATGAAATAACAAACAGTCCAGAGTGAAAAATGTCAGGGGAGTTAACGACCCCAGTGCAAAGAACTCAACAAGAAATTTGGAGTTGTAGTTATTGTAACTGACGTCTTACTAGCGTGTAAGCTGTTAGCCGTCAGGAGCCACAGTAGTTCACGCACTACGTCACCGAGCTTCTCAGAAACACGTTTCATAAAGACTGTTATCGTCACTTGGTCTTAAAGGAGCTACTGAATGTAGAAAGCTCACAGTCACTTGTTTTTGTTTTACTTTTTTTAATTTGATAATTGATCAGTTGCTCTTCTCTGTTTATATGTTTGTGAATTGAATATTACATATATTGAAATTGCGTCTGTGTTTTGGCTCTGAGAAATTGTGATGGGTATTTGTCACTTTTTAAAAAACTTGACAAATAATAATAACACTTTATTGACAACAATATTGTTAATTGAATATTTACATTAAAAGCTTTGACTTTTTTTTTTTTTGGAGAAGAAGAATTGAAGATCTCCAAAACTTCTTTTAGTCTCAAATACAATTATCAACAGCTTTGAATCCATAAAAGTGAGCCCTCTAACATCTGTCAGCAGAACCTTTATTAACTTATTTATAAAGTTTCATGTGACAATTATGCAACTGTCATTTCCCCAGAGTCATAAAACGAGGACTGTTGAATTTCCCTTTGGCCAGTGAGTAATTATGCAAGCAGACACCTGTATCTCTAAGTGCTTCTCCCATCTCCTGTTGCAGAATGGCCATCCAGGTTGACAAGTTTGACTTTGAGAGTCTGCCACAGCCGGACCAGGAGACCGCTCGCTTCACTAACCCCAAACAGCTGGAGGAGGAGCGACAGCATGCCCAGGGCTGCCAGATCAACAGCAAGCTGGGCATCTGTTGGAGCATCATATCCTTCCAGTGGCTGCATGTATGGCAGAGCTATGACAGAGAAAGCAGTCTGAGCAGATCATGGTTAGACAGACAGTAGGTAGAGACGGGAAAGGTTTCACACTCGCGGTGTGTCCGGATCCCGGTTACAGGTAATATCCTCCAGCAGTGTTGCGTGTTGACAGATTCAGTCAGGGGTGCACCTATTGAATGTTGTTTGTTGACATCAGTCAGATCAGAGATGCAGGACATCTGGATCCCACATCTGGAGACCCTCTGGCCAGCAGGGATCTTGTTCGCCTACACTGACAGATGGGGAAAGCGTATGGTAGAACACTTGCCACTCTGACACTGTGAAGTGATGTCTTAGTGTGTGTGTGTGTGTGTGTGTGTGTGTGTGTGTGTGTGTGTGGGTGTGTGATTGTGGCACATACTCACATTAGTATGATAGAACATTTTCCCATAGGTCCTAGTTTGTGGGCAAGCTTTGCGGTCCATCCGAGGTAATCTTTGACACCAGCGTTGTCAGCATGCTGCTCTCTGTGTTCTGGTTTTTCCACAGGGAGACAACTCATCTATTCCTTTATAGAATATACGCTGTTGTCTTCAGGCCTTTCATGTACAACACACTTACTGCCAGAGATCAAAGATGTGTAGGTTTAAAACTCGTAACACACATGCAAGCTGGGTTTGTACTTGTGGTCTGTGGGGTTGTTAACAGATACACTGTGCTGTCTTTTAATACCCCCACTATTGTTTTTTTTGTCTGTCTCACCTGTTAGCATGTGTGTTATGTGTTTTAAAACCTTGGCAAACATTATACTTGCAATACAGCTTTTAATTTAAACTTTTTTTTTCTTTTCTTTAACAACCAAATGGTCCCAGGAAGGAGGGAGTTAATAAATAATGAAGTGGTGTTCCCACTATACTTAAAGGTCCCGTATTTTACACTTTTCCTGTGTTTTATTTGAAGTGTTGGCTTCTCCCTGGAGCGCTAGTAACAACGGGTCGGTGAGCCAATCAGAAGAGAGGAGGAGATAGCCTCTCTTATGATTGGCTGACTGTTTTCTGAGGGATCGAATAAAAATATAGCAGATTTCATGTAAAGACTCAGAGAAACCGAATCCTGCGTGGCTGGATGGTGGGTCCAGGTGGGCGGGGCTTGGGTAGAGTGGCTGAGGGCTGTGACTGTTTTGTTGTGACATCACAAAGTTCCAGAAGTCCTGACGGCTCGTTGTAAGGCTGAGTTTGCGTTTCTCTTTGGACTGAGCTCTTTGATCCTTTCACAGTATTAATATAGAAGCTAGACCTGATCTGTAATCAAACAACACATACAATATGGGACCTTTAAGGAACTGTAAATATTAGTCAAATTAAACACCTAACATTAAGAAGCAACAGCATCGTTTGAGGCATAGGAAACCTGATATTTATTTTTCATGCAATAAGACAACAAACTGTTGTGAGACATTAAATCCACCTTGGAAAGGAGATGCGCAGAGTTGGCAAAGGAGATAAAAAAAAACAAAAAAAACAAAACAAGAAAAAAGACTGGAGCCTTTTTTTAGCCTCTTTGAGAAGTCGGCGACATTACTTCACAAGGGGGCGGGGGGGTCCAACCTGCAGCTATACAAGAGTGGAACTGAACTCCCCGAACAAATCAAGGCACTCTGCTTTGTTAAAGTAGAAAAGTTTAAAAAGCCTTTATTACAGTGGTTTCATGATTAAAAAACAAAACCAGCCGGCGTATGTTTACTGAGCCCGAATGAATGTTGCACACTGGGTTGCAGCAGGCTCAAGGGCTCGCTTTGACCAGTCAGCGACTTTCAACATGGCAGACAAAGCCCCGGGCCATCGCAAAGTTGCAAAAGACTGTTTGTGTGGTGAGAAAGTCAAAAGCAAAGTTCCCGCAGTCAAGATTCTGGTAAAGTTCATGAGTTTCATAACGTGTTCCTGCTGAAAAGAACCACTAGTCATCGTGCATAATAGTCCCTCGTATCAGCCCATAACTCATCAGTTGGCGGTTACCGGTGCACACATTTAGAGATTTAAGAAGTGCCTGTCAGACTGTTGGTGAACGTGGTGTGCAATTAATGATGAATCCAATCTCTGAGCCACTGAAGTTGCCATTATATTTTTCCCCCTTTTTATGAAGGCGTGAACACTCCCATCGTTATGTGCATTGTTTTATCTACAAGTAATGTGGCAGCATGTAGGCAGGAATGAAGAAAGAAAATGACAAATAAATGTGTATTCCCAGCAGCGAGTCTGATAGCACCCGTTCTACTGCAGCAAAAAAAACTGCCTGTTTAATCATTTTCAGCCAATTTCAAACATATGTTATGATAGTAATTTATAAATTCATGCAAGTTTCTTTTGAAGCTGAGCAGCACATCGCCATCAATAAATCCCGTGTCTTCTCAGGCGACCCTGCGACAAACCAAAGCAAACGAGAAAAAAACAATTAGAAACGACGTTGCTCTAAACATGCAACGAGGAACAAAGTGTAAACTGGAAGCAAAAAGGAGAAGTTTTCCATTTCAGTCTCGCAACCTTCCTCAAATGAAGGGGCTTCTCATTCACAGCTGGAAGCCTTGTATTCCAATAAAACTCATTTGGATGGGATAAAACTTCTACTGAGTCAATTTACCAACGCATTGTCAATGGAGCGACGCCGGAATTGTCACACGACGTTACCGAGTGAAGTCTTGATGCTATCGTTTGCTGCGCAGGGAGACGTTTCTCTGTGTGCAGATAGTGACTCAGCCGTCTGAAAGCATCAGAAGAGCACAATGTCAATTCTGCTTCAGGCTGGATTTTCCCCTTTACAGCATGAAAAACTGAAGAAATAAAAAGATTTGATTACAGTGCGTGTCGCACACTCGGAAGCACTCGCTTGGCCTTGAGCAAAGTAACAGTCACTTTAATTTGTAATTTATGAGGTCCCTACAATATTATTGCTGTTTTGTTGATGAGTGTGAGTTATAGTGATTCGCCCATAGGAAGAAAAGGCCGTATACAGTGAGCGAGGGATGGTAAACGCGTGTCTTCCCCTACAGGAGGTCACTGCTGAGTTCATGACTCACCCCTGAACGTACAGTGTGGAGGTTCATTTGTTTCTCAAAGCTGTCTTCAGCAGCACTAATATCCACTTCACAATCAGTTATTATTATTATTATTATTATAACTCCTTGTGAAGCTGTCGTAGGCAGCAGAGCACATCCAGATCACGGTTCATCCGATGCACTGCAGCCAGCCGGAAGCGACCGCACGTTAACCTCGAGTATGGACTCGCTTCAGTGGACGCGGTGGACACGGGAAGACAGTGCAGTTTAGGACTGGTTCAGAAGTCGTGTATCACCTTCAAGGCATCATGCTCAGCTGTAGTCCTCAGTTTCATCTCTCCTGCATAACCAACGTTCAGATGTGTCGATTTACAATCAGACGTCAGACTTCAGCGTTTTCTTGTAAAAATTAATTATCTGAAGTAAAAGTTTTCAAAATAATATTTATGGCTTGAGCAACAGGAGTGACTGAACAAAAAAAAACACACCCTCACCCTCCCAACCTGCTGTGACCCACACCTGAATAAGTGCTGGAAAATCAATGGATGGATCAATGACAGAAACCTTTTAAATCAAGCACCATTTGTGACCCCTTGTTTCCCCAATACAGCTGTTGCACTGTTCTGTGGAGGCAGATGTTCCTAGTTTCTCTGAGCTTGTTAGAGGGAGACTCATTTTTATCTGCAATGTTTGTGAAACATGAAGTTGATTAAGGTTTTTTAGGCTCTAACTTGGAGTTAAAAAAAAAAACAAAAAAACGTTGGCGGTCGAGAACAAGTCGTGGGGATCAGCAGAGTCATTAGAATTAATCTTGAATATGTGTAGCAGATCTCACAGCAGTCCATTTAGTTGCTGAGACACTTCCCTAATGTATGGTGTAATTAATATTCTGTGTTAGTGTATTAGTCTTATGACAGTTGTATCTGTATGTGGTTAAATAATTTAGGATGCTATCAGTTTTTAGGATGAAGAGTGAGTGAATTTTTACTGTGTGTCCTTCACCGGTGGAGTCACGCAGCGGGGTTACCACGGTTACTCTCTTTGTGCATTGGGTCACTGGATATAATGAACATCCCCCCGTGTTATGAAAGCTGTCAGTTTCAGAGCGGAGTTGTTGCTGCAGCGGAGAGTCAGACGCTCAGTGCTGGTTGATCATCAGGCTTATACCGTGTCACCCAGGACGGACCAGCGGAGACGAACTGTCGCCGCCTCCTCCTCCTGTTTCCTCCCAACAGCTCCACTGAAGCCGTGAAGTAGAAAACTATACACAAGAGATCAAAAGCCTGAGGCGCTGAGCGTTGTTTTTTGGAATAAGATGCAGGTGCATGCTGTGACATGTGATTCGCCGTGAGTCAGACTCTTGAGTTTGGAAATGATCCAGCAGCACAGCAGAGGCACTTCTCAGCACAGTATGTGTCGTCTCCCTCTCTCTCTCTCTCTCCCCCCTCCACTCTCCCTAAAAGGTTAATAGACACAGGTTCGGTGCTCTGGGCGCTGCTCGTCTCACCCATTATTCCAAATGTCAGCTGTGTAAATGATCAGCGTTGTCCTTATCATCACATATTATCTGGGTAATTGCTCTCTGACAGTCGTATTTGTTTTGATGCGGCGTTCATACATCGGTAGTCTTCCCTGTGATCAGTCTAATGCCGTCGTCATAGCAAGGTTACAGAAACACGCGTCTCCCTGCACCTTTGACATCTAAATGAACGGATAACAGAGAAATTACAGGATGCAGTCAGTTTATGGGGTTTTTTAAAGATTTTTTTATTAGTAAAAACAAATGCAGCTGTAAACTGGAGTTAAACACCAGTTTCAATTTACAGTTTTACTTTGCATTGCCCAGTGATATCTGCATTTTGTGTGGTTGTAATGTTCATCTGCTGCTGCTAATACATTGTTATGACTAATCCGCTGGTGGTTCTTGCTTAACTTTGCTGTGTTTGTTGTCCATGTAATGCGAGGAGGACGCATCCACACGGTCATCCACACCGATTTGTTTTATTGTTTATCTGCAAAGCATTTTCAGGAAACTGGATCCCTACAGAACAGCCTACATGACATCCATAAGTGGATGTCTCAGAGCTAAATAGTGTTAAGGCAGAGATCTTAATCGTAGGTCCAGACAGTGCAAATATCTTATCAAATATCAAATTTCCTGCTCTGTGTCTTCCTCTGGACGGCAGAGTTTATTAGGGTTGTTACAGTTTTAGCCGGTTATAATTACAATATAATGTAGTCCATGCATTTATTTCCTCCCGCCTTGACTACTGTAACTCCCTATATACCTGTCTCAATCAGAAATCAATGCACCGCCTCCAGTTAGTTCAAAATGCTGCAGCTCGGCTCCTCGCTCAGTCCAAAAAAAATGTTTTCAGAACAGCCCCGTTCTTACCATCTCTACACTGGCTGCCTGTTATTGTAGAACTGATTCTAAAGTTCTTATAATGACTTTTAATGACTTTTAATGACCACGCTCAGGCCGGCCTCTCCCTATAATCCTCAGCCAGTGTCAGTCAAAGAAAAGACACCCAGATCTGATCAGATCTGTGCAGCGAGTAACAACATGTCGTCAACATGTTTGTGTCCTGAAGTGTAACTGTTGTAGCAACGCTTCACACACAATGTTCACAAAGGCTAACGTTAGCTTGTTTAGGCTAACGTAGCTGAGCTGGGTGCTAACAACATTAGCACTCATCACCGTTCAGTCTGTTAAAATCTAACACTTACTTAAGAAATGAATGTTTTCCCACCATGGGTCTGTCACCTTATTAAGTGAGTGTAAACTGCTGCTGTGTGTGTGTGTGTGTGTGTGTGTGTGTGTGTTGTTATTGGTAAAACTACCAAAATTGTAGCATCCTCTCTAGTCAGTTTTATCTCAGTTCCCAAGACATATTTTTTTATAAACAAGCGTTTATTGTGTGATGTCGTTTTAATTTCATTTACATTTTTACTTTGATTTGTTTGGATGTTTTATATTTGACTCGTGTGAAGCGCTTTGTTGCTAAAGTGCTGTACAAACAAAGTCTTATTATTAAATAAAGTCTTATTCTTTTTTCTAACTCCCAGTGTTGCAGGTAAAATATTGTGTATGTGTAAACAGCAGTGTTTGTCATTAACTCTCAAAATGCAAAAAAACAAAATAAAAAACAAACACACCATGCTTTTCTCCTTAACCCCTCCCACCCCTCCCTGCGGCGCCGTGGAGAGGCCAGCGTGGAGGGAGTCCTCAACCAGCTGGTCCTGGAGCACCTGCAGCTCGCTCCTTTGCAGTGGGGTGAGTCCTTGTGTGTGTGTGTGTGTGTGTGTGTGTGTTTGTCTGCATGCATGTGAGATTATGAGTTGCCATCACACACTTACACCCACAGTAACGACTGAAAGTTTGAGAACTAGTTAACGGGGAAACGGTCAACGCAGTGTGAAGTAAGTGAAAAGGTTTTAATCAAGTTGTTGAGACTGTTGTTATGTAGATTTTATTTCATCTCCCGTCTTTTGCAATAACGAGACTTCCTATTATGTTTCCTGTGAATATGTTAGTCTGCCAGTCACAGTTATCTAGGTGGTTACATAGCAATCTCCTTACCTGTCAGTTAGAGCATAAACCTCCAGAACCGGTCTCAAGCCATGTTTTTTATTTGCATTCATAATGGGCTACATGCTATTTTAGAGGAGTGTAGACAGCAGCTTGGGAAACGTGTGAATCACCAAGGGATGCGCAGAATTTGTAGGAGCACTCCTCGGTCGCACCATCTGTGATCATCCTCTGAAATCACTTTTGATTTACTTCGGGTGTTTGTTTTCTCAGATTCGCGGCCTCTCTCTCTGGGCACTGCCAGCATTTTGATTAGTCAGCTGGGGCTGTCCTTGCCTTTTGCAAAGAGAAAGCAATCTGCAAAATGATGTGACAGAGCAGATCAAGCATGGAAATGTAAGAATCTGCTGAGACAAAAATACTTCGCCAGATTCGCTGTTCTCTAGATATTTTGGCGTTTGACCTGCGCTGCCTTGAATGAGGAAATATTCCCAGGGGTTAAAGCTGTTGTAAAGATGTCTGAGATGCTCTCATCTTTTGATCTGATCTTCTACATTATCTCGGCGGCAGACATTCTCAGTGGTTGTTTTCTCCTCGTGTCTTCATTTCTTGTACAGTTGTGCGGTTCCAGCTCAGGCCTTTACAGGCTTTGCTGATTATGAGCCAGATAATTTGCCTCAGCCCATTAGGATGCCTTTATCAGGGCTGCCAAGACTATCACAGACCCAATTACGGGTATAGTTCAAGCATTTCCCCTGTGTCTAGTCCAACTGGATGCTTTTATTGCCATTGTTGCCTCGCACACACACTCACAGAGATACAGTAGATACATAGAACCTGCTCGTCAAAAATTATGATTGAAGTTGTGTTTAATCGCCAAAGCTCTGTGTTCTGTTGTCCCAGAAATTGAAGACTGGACAATTGGTAGTTTTCTTTATTTTAATTTTATTTTACTTACTTTACTTATTTGACTTTATTTTACCTTTTTTTTTTGTTAGAAATTAGAAGCTGTTTGAGGATTTCATAGACCTCATAAAGTTAACAATCCTCATCTTGATTCATTTAAACGCACAGTATGTAACCAGTGCCGCTAGGAGTTTCTCAATCAAAACAATAACAAAAGGTGACGTTGTGAAGTAGCATGGGATCATGGGAGTCGTAGTCTTCACCACCATTGCTGTCAGCTTCTCCCAGTTTGGATTCTTTCATTGTCATTAGTTCAGGAACTTTTTTTTTTTACCAGGAGCTGAATTATCCACAGAGGGTCTCCTTCCATCAAAGAAACAAACAGAACCGATGATTATAACCAGTAAAAACACTGAATGAAGCAGTTTCATGTTTAAAGTCAGTGTTTCACCGACACCGTACGGCAGAGTCAGGACATCAGGGAAGAGTTGGCAGCTGAGATTGCCGCTAACCTTTGTTTTGATTGTTTTTATGAAACCTCGTGAAACAGACGCTCAGGAGGTTTTAACTTTAATCCGCAGACGTTTCCTTCTCTCCGTAAAACAAATGGACCAGGGGATTAAAACCAGTAGAAACACAGAATAAAGTAGCTTCATGTTAAAATCATCCGTCGCTGTTCACCATACACAGGATGTCTTGGAGGGGCTGGGGGCTGAGCTGTCTAACTTTTGCCTAGCTTTTTTAAGATTCAGACGTTTGATGACTAAAATCCTTCATCCAGTTTAAACATATAGTTCAAAACGACCAAGGTATAAAAGTGTATGTGGCTTAAAACTGGATAAAAGTCTATTTGAGCTTCTGGTCGGCAGCTACAACACAAGCACATGCACATAGAGCATATGACGTCAGTGACAGGCGACCAAATGACACAATACCATGATTAAATTCACATATTTCTCTAGGTTGGAGAATTGATGGAAACATTTGGGATAATGTAAGAACATAATTAACTGACTAGTGACTTATTATAACTTTAATAATTTCTCTGGCAAACTAGTTCTCCTCCTCCAGGAGGTCAGTTTCACCAGCACAGCGCTGTAGCAAAACATCCTTAATTTTTTAATTAAGACAGAGATGCTGTTGTTGCTTCTATATTTGCTTCCAATGGAATATAATGAAGCCTTTTACATAACGTTTCAGGTGTTTGCAGAAAACGATTTCATTTTCTTTGTGCATGTAAAATGACAGACAAATGTGGACATTATACAGCAGATTATTGCACCGCTGATGTGTAAAGGCAGTTTTGTGTAATGTGGAAATCAGGTGTTTTGGACTTCGTAATAGTCTTGATGAGAACATTAAAATACAGATTTTATGCCAAGCATCGCTCTGAGACAACAAGTACAAAGCAAAGTTGAAATAATATTATCTGTTTCTGGAGGTGAGGAAGTCAGTGGGGGGGAGGTCATCACCATGGCAGCAGCCATGGGGGGGGGGAGGGATGAAAATCTCATCCATGAGCAATCCACGAGCACATGTTATTTGCAGAGATGAGTCTGTTACGATCCGGCGTTCTGAGTGGTTTTTGTACACTGCACAGTTTCCACGTGTGTGATTGGCTGGTGCTGATGGCTCCTGAGCTTCTCCAGGAAATGCCTCAGTTCAGTGCTGCAGCAAATGTCTTGAGCACCATCAGTCTGTGGCTTTCCCTCAGCTTTCCTGCTTTTCACTCATTTAAAGAAAATTGTAATCGCTTCCAGTTCTGCTCTCAATCAGCGGAGGAGACGGAGGCATTTGTCACAAGTAATATCTTTGCAGTCGCCATAACAACAAGTGCAGAAAGTGCTCCTTTTTACCTAATTTTACTATCAATGTCAGTGGATGACTTATGTGCACTCCCACGTGGATTTACTTTTTTCCCCTCTACTGTATAAATGCAGTATTTTCATTATTGAGACCAAAAAAAGATTCAGTCAAAGTGTCTGGTGTCAGCTCACCTCGCAAGAAAAGCAATTAAAAGCTTAAAAGGAAAACATCACACACTAAAAATAACCTGCATGTGAAATCTGACAAACAGGGATTGCACACACACCCTGTTATTTTTTATTCTTAATCACATTTTTATTTATTTTTCCTGGAGTTCATTTTAAAACGTACCTATTACATTTTCAAATGCGGGAACTTAACGCAACCACAAAATATACAAAGACTGAAAAACAATGTGAGTAGTTATTTATGGATACTGTGCCTCAGGCAGGGGTTATAGGAAAGAGGCTTTGACATCTCCGCCTGAGCTCAACCAATTGTGTGGCACGAGAAACTTGATGCTTCTTCATGATTTGCTACCATAGAAACCCTATGAATAATTGATCACACAGGTTCCAGTAAATGGAGAACACGGAAAGTGCCAGAATCTCTTTTATGGCTTTGTGTTTGTTTACAAGCTCATTATTATTATTGAATGGGGAGCAAACGGAGGCCATTAGTAAATGATTCTACCCGCGGGCCACAGTCACGTGCTGCGCCGCAATAAAGTGAGATCATATATGATGAAATCCTCGGCGTAATTACAAATGAATAATGCAGAGAAACAAAACATCCTTTTGTTTCTGCTGAATTTCAGTTTTGAGATTCAGGGGAAAAAGAAATCAAAGCGGATTATGTTTATGTTTATGTGGAAAGCCTGTTCGGTAAAAAAAACAAACAATAAACACGAAACAATTGGACACAAATTTTTTAAATAAAGACAAACATAGATGAGAGGGCTGCTTCGACATTACTTCCTGCTTATGTTTGATTCCATAGAAGCTACAATTCTTCGGAAAGCCCGCTGTTATGTTTTGGAAAGACATTAGCATTAATATTAATCTGCTGTGACTGCACATTCACAGATTTTAAAAACCTTATAAATAAGGTCATTTATGGGTAAAACTCCTGCAACTGGTGTTAATATACTTTTGGATTGATATGCAGCTCTCTCCCTGACTGAGCACTAATTCTGACAGGTTCCCACTGAGTCATTTCATTTCCTGCTCCAGCACTAAAAGTCTGTCTGGAAGCTGCTCTTTCATTCTGTCCTGAAAAAGAAGTCCCGCTATGAAACTGTATACGTTGACCATGGATTTCATAGTTCTGTTGAAAAGGGTAGACAGTTTGACAAACAGTCTAAATGTCAGCAGAGCAGCCTTGGAGATTTTCAGCTATTGTTTTTCAGAAGGTTACCGGCTGGCTGGTTTAATTATCTGTGACAAAAATTTTTTTATTGCTCCTCCAAAAACTATAAGGGTTACTTGTCATCCTTAAAATTGGAGAAACCAGACGGAAGAAGTTTGACAGGCGGCTATGGGATGGAGCACACTAAATTAAGATCTAGATATCACCTCTTATTTTTGAAGGAGATGTTTTACCCAGTTCCCATCAAACCGTTTACAGTGTAAACAGCAACTGAATCTGGTTTTACCATAGATTGCATATAAAGGTGGACGTAGCCTCAGTGACGTTCACCTGTGGGTTTATGAAGAGCAGTTCTTGAAGCTCAGAGTGAGCTGCTCTGCCATCATCGTCTTGGCAGCGCCTGACCCCGCCTAACTCCCACTCAACTCAACTCATGACTAACAAACTGATATTGTCAGCTCAGCACAAATAATTATTTTGTTCCATTATTCATTAAAAGCTAAAGTAAGTTTTTAGTCAGACAGATATATATTTGAACATTTTACCTTGTACAGTAATTAAAGGTAACCTGTCTAGGTTTTTTGTAAACAAAGTTATATTTATGTTCTGTCCTTCTCACCTAAACACACTGTGCTCATGCTGAGACGTAACGAGCGTGTTTAAAG